CCATCACCACCCAAAACAGCGAAACCAAAGGGACGTTTCAATATCTCATACACCGAGCCTAAGATTTTCGCTGAAAATGATACAGTTCCCGAGGGTTGCGATGCCGAAGCAGTGCCTTGCAGATGGAACTTGCTGACCAGAGATTTGACTGATGATGGTATCACAAAGAAGGAACAGAAGAGGCAATCCAGAGCCAACAGCTCTCCAGATCCGCCAGAGAAGAAGAAAAAGATCGGGGCGGAGCAAAACAAAAAGAAGATGGATCAGGACGAAGCCAGACAATTGAAGCTCGTTGAGGAAGCCAAGAAAGCGAAGATCGCCTACAAAATGCACTGTGGAGTCGGTAAGGAAATCTTTGGACCAATGGACGGAGCGTCAGTAGTTGCCACAACAGATAGCGGTTACAAGGCTTTGAGGAAGAGACATGCTTTGATTCCAAAGCTATTCTTGGATGTTGTTAAGAGTCCAAGCACAGGAAAAAACATCTTGCCCGAAGGCCCGGTCGTGTGTTTCTTTCACCCGTCACAGACGAAGAGAAGCGCAATCCACCTCTAGTGCAAAATCTCAGTTTGATAAGAGCCGAAAGGTGGGCAGCATTACTCCGGGACAGCTCGAAAGGTCAGAGATGCTCGATCCATGACAACAAACCTCCCAGCTGGACGTGCTAGACCTGGGATGGACCAGATCCACCACTTCAATGGCTACAGAGATGCAGTACCAGAATGCAACGGAAAATCCAAAAAATTGAGCGAGTACTTCCTGTATGTAGAGTGCCGCGATAGTGGCGCTTGCTGTTGCCGGCAATGTTTTCTGGTCATTGCCAACGGTATGCACGATGGTTTATATGCTCGGAAACCTGGTAATGAAACTGTGCCATATGCTCTGTCCTACAAGAGCTTGGAAGGGACTCTACAGAAATGTGATCCCATATGGGAGAAACTCAAGCACATTCAATTCTCCCGACACCACAAAATTCCACGAGACAATAAGGATCATTGGTGCACCGAGGATCAAAGGTATCCACATTGGAGCTGCCCAAGCCATGACAAGCAGTTGTGCGTCATGATGTCGGATGTTTTCTGTGGATCCTTCAACAAGAGCTTCTCTGGAAGATTCTACATCATTGGCTACCCAATGCAGGGCACATTGTCTAACCAAAGTGTCGGTTTCCTGCCCGGGTTGGAGCCCATCTGCAACAGCACCCTCTGCTCCCTGGTATCGAAGAGTCCGCACCACAAGAGCTTGAAAAGACGTGGCAATCGCATGACCAGCATCATCTCGAAGCACCACAACTCGAACTCTCTCTTTGATAATGGGAGACCTGGGAACATCTACTCAGTTGCAACCTACAACTGGGTGCACGTCCGGCGGACGGTTCTTCGCAACTATATCTGGGAGATGATTGTTCGGAAGATGGCACAGTTGAAGACCCCTACCCAACTTGGAAGGTCTTCGACCCTGCCATATGAAACATTCCAGGACGTGTACAGTGACTGGGTTCTTGTTGGTGATTTGGTGAAGTGTTGTTTGCTAGTAATACTGCAGCTTATTGGGGAGTAATTTGGTTTTAGATTAAGCTGAAAAGCAAAAGTGAGGATTTTCTGGTGGTGCATAGCAATTCTTGTGATTGAATTGGATATAAGGACCCCCGCAACACTTTAGACCTAAAACTCCCTTGGTTCCTTGCATGATGAATTTGCATGCGAACCGGACTAGATGATTAATACACGAGTCAATAGTAAAGAGGTGTCAGGCATATTTCCTCCAACACACTCCTGCACGGTGCCCTAAGTGGCTACCGTGGAACGAATAAATAAATTAGGCAATCAAACAAGGGGTGGATGCCCCATGATGAAAGCCCTGTGCTCATGGAAGAGCTTGCCCTGAAGGGGCTTCGTGAAAAAATCTCCACGCATCTCCAAGGTCGGACAGTACACCACTCTAAGGTTGCCTTTTCCAATCTGATCGTGAATGAAGAAGAAACGGATGTTAATTGCCCGAGTCCTTTTGCCCAAGCTGCCTTTGCTGTTCTCAGCAAGGATGATGGTCGACTTATTGTCTTGCATCAGGAGGTTGTCCTTGACAACGATCCCCTGCTCTTCAAGAAACAACTTGGCCCATAACATTGGAGACATGACGTCGTCTGCTCCAATCAACTCCGCTTTGGTACTGCTCCTTGAGTTGAGCTTCTGTTTCGCGGATACCGACAACACCGCTCCTCTTCCAAAGGACATGACTCCTCCTGTATGGGAACGGTAATCAGGATGGACTGCAAATGATGCATCCTCCCACCAAGTGATGACACGGATATCATCAACATGGAGTATCAACTTGTCCTCCACTGTTTGGTCCAGGAACTTCAATCCTTGGATCAACTTCCCCCAGTCATCAACTGTGGGATTGCTCACACGTGTACAGAGAACAATTGTTAGTGTCCGAACATCTGGTCTTGCTCTTGAAAGCGTTACAGTTCCTCCCACGACTCAGAGTATCCGTGAGTAGATTGAGTCATGCTTTATGGGTCAACACGATGGAACAGAGAACGCTGGTAAGAACACGTTCTCAACGAAACCAAAGGACACGGTAAATTGGAGTATTCGACAGGAGGAAAGCATCCTGCCAACGAACCGTTTCCCGCAGATACCACGTTGACTTCCGTATGAATCAAGATCAACTACCACGATGCATTGATCTAACACGCTACGAACTAGCTTTACTGATCGCATCAATCAAAGCTCACAACACAGATTATGAATTACTAAGAAGCGAACTTTGCATTTACCTTGCACTCGTCTTGAATAGTTGCAGCTGATCTCGTTGGGTGGTAGCTACCTCTACAAGATCCCTCTATTCAAGTAGTATTTCTCACGTTAGCAGATTAACTAATCGCAGTTACGCACTGCCACATCTCCATCAAGATGGCCGATGAACCAGCCAAGCTCAAGCATATCCTATGCAACCTATGCGGCGAAGACGCTTCCACCACAGGGTACAATGCATCTCACATGCGCATCGCACTGTCTGAACAAGGAATCGACGGATGGATGGATCTCCTACTTCTCACCAAAGATGAAGTTATGGATCTCCAAGCTTCCAACGACACCCACGGCGCTCCAAGACCAGTACCTCTCACCAGGAAGAAGCTACTGCTCGCGGCGATACAGATGTATCACCATTGGTCGTTCAAGAGGAAGGCACCCATCCGCATCATATCACTGACGGCCGACGCGCTCGACGCTTTCAGAGTTGGACTCTTCCAGCCACACGGCGAAATCGTCCCATGGCAACAAATGAGACGCAGCGATGCCACGATGACCGATGGGGAGCGTGCAATCGCACTTTGGGACAAGAACAACAAGCCCGTCCGCTCAGAGTTCAGAGAGTTTCGCGACGAATCAGTCTTCATCAAATGGAGGAAGAACTTCCTCAACACGCTCAAATCTCAAGGTCTCTCCCACCTCATTGATTCTGGCTTCACGGTCACCAACGTTGAACTAGACGAGAAATAACGAGAATGGATGTACAAGACCTTCGAAGACATCTTCCAAGAAGCACAGGCACGATCTGTCGTCCTTGCCAACGAAACCGACAAGGACACTCGTGCGATCTGGAAGGCAATTGACGAATATTACTACAAGTCCATGGTCGCAACCCTGCGCTCGGATAAGATTTCGTGTTATCTCACCTCCGCCGATATCGCAGAAGGTGTATGGAGAGGGTCCCAAGCTGGTTTCATCTCCAACTTCCTCGAACAATTTCGGCAGTACAATGAGATCAGCGACGAACCATACACTGACCAACAGGGGGCACGTTTCTTGGAACGCTCAATCTCCAAGGCACCAAATCTCACCCCTGTACGACGTCTCGCACTGCAAACCAAGAAAGCTGCAGGCGACACCTCCCAGTATACGCTCGAGCAATACCGATCAGCCCTTCTCGAGCAAGCACAACTGCATGACAATGCAAACCATGCGACGTCCACACGCTCTCGAAGCAACGCTCGTCGTCACACCTACCAACACGAAATTCTCTTCGATGATGGTACAGCGGAAACCTGTGATAGCACCTATGAGGTGTTCGTCCACGATATGGATACACCGGTGGAGGTCCTATTGCAAGCCCATCAGACAGACACTCGTGGTCCACGCAAGGTCATGATGAACGCAACCACATGGCGGTCGTTGTCCAAGTCGGATCAAGAGGCATGGGATAATATCTCCAAGCAGGGCAAGAAGAGCATCCTTGACTACACGGCTGACTTAGCTGTTCGACGTAGTCACCACAACTCTGGGCAATCACGCCCATCCCGCTCAGTCAACTCCCATGACTTCCTCGACGTGGGCAACACCACGCCACGAGCAGGCAACCTAGAAGTGTTCTCGCACCAAACCAAGTCCAACAAGACGGACACTGACCTGTTGCAGCTCGCATGCAACAAGACGCATTCAACGCCAACGTCCTTCGCTGGTGATATCGCGTCCATCCTATCACAGCCGCCCAATACGGCTACACGCGAGGTACGAGTCCACGAGGTTGATCGCTCATCCTACGAGTCCTACTCCCACGAGATGTTGTTCAGCGAGCCAGAGATTGACCCTGATTGGCAACCCTTCGTATATTTCTCTGATGAATCCGAGGACAGCCAAACACAAACCTCTCGTGAAAATACGACGACACCGGTGGACCTCCTCGACGTACCCAACGAAGCGGATCCTCCAATGCCCGCACTCGACAATGGAGAAACAATCTTTCCATCCGGTGATCAGGCTTTCTCACAGTTTGCTTACGGTACCTCCCAATACGAGGCTATTGATACGAGTATCCAACAACAAATCCAAGAGGATCACACAGGATACCACACCTTCGAACCGCAAGTTCTATGCGATGAACCCTTCGACCTCTGGACACGTCAACGCATCTCCTCGGCTATGGAAGCACAGCTGGATCCTACGGCACCTCCTGTGATTGGCACACTCATGGCTCCACCATACCATCAGATTCAGCAACCTGGCGATACACTCTTGCTTTGTCAGCGTCAAGCTGCCACCGAGCATGAACAACAGCTCTTGGCCAATCTTACAGCGGAAGAAGCACCCGTCAAGGAGGCACCTATTGCAGAGATACCCACTGATGATCCAGATTCACTAGCGCTCGATATTTCCCAACTCCAACTCGATCCTTCCTGATATTGGAGTCGATATCGACACTGACCTCAGTTTCGCGACACCAAGCGAGGCTGACTTCCCGGAAGACTCCTCCATGCCCCACTTCAAAGGCACCCATGGAATCCGCAAGGCTGTCCGACAACGCCGAGTGCTCAGGCAGACTCCTGCTGCGCTCGCACCTGCAACAATAACGACATCCTCTGTCACGATCCCTACAACAACACCGGTCTCTGACAGCTCTTGGCCAATCTTACAGCGGAAGAAGCACCCGTCGAGGAGCACCTATTGCAGAGATACCCTGATGATCCAGATTCATAGCGCTCGATATTTCCCACATCCAACTCGATCCTTCCTGATATTGAGTCGATATCGACACTGACCTCAGTTTCG